ATCGAAAATAAATTAAATATTGATCTTAATTTCTTAAAATTTCAGAATATCTAACGTCTTAAAATTTGTTAAATATTTTTCTCGTTTTTTTTCTTTTTCTTTTTATTGTGTACAGGCATGTAAAAAATAGAATAGAATATTTCTTTAATCATAAAAAATATTAATCTCATTATATTTCACTATATTTTTGTCATTATGCCACAGTTTAGATTATGAATGATATACATAAACGATATTCCGTTCATAAAATGCAAAAGTAGACATTACGTTTCTGAGAGTGTCTTAAGAGCTTGTAATTTTGTAACTGGTCGCGCGGTTATAAACAAAATCTTAGTGTTGAAAACAAATTAGTCACATTCCGCGCACATCCGAGAAACGATAAGATAGAATAATTACCCGCCACGAGATCGCCAAAACCGATGGTCGTAAGCGTTACGAAGGCGTAATAAACCGACTGATCGTAGGACCAGCCCTCGTAATGTGAGAATAAGAACGCCGGGAAGAAGATGAACATGACGAAGCCGGGTGTCAGGTACATGAGAATCTGCGCGGCCAGGCCCACCTTTCGCGTCTCAAACGGCGTTGGTTTCTTAGAGGTGTAATCAGACGATGACTGGCCACTCTTGTAGGATTTGTACTTTTGATGAGCCTTGATAAACACGTGACTGAAAAACTCACCCAACTGCGTTAACAGAATCCCGTTCATCGGGATGCCCACTAGGCCGTAGAAGATCATCAGGATGCGGCTAAGCGTATTTGTGGGTGCTAGATTACCATATCCTGCGTAATAAATTATAAACTTAGAATTTCGACATAATAAAAAATATAGAACAACAGCAAACAAGAAAAGATATTAAAGAAAGATCACAATAATTCAAGAAATCCAATAACATAAAAAAAAATATTTAAAAATTACGTGTAATGAAATTATACATATATATACATATATGCCACAATTTAAAAAAATAATTTAGATAACATAATAATATATATTTGAAAAATTCTGATTCTTTCATTAAGACGTCTAAAAAGTGTCTCAATTTTTCAAACATTTTTCTCTTTTAAAAACGTGTTTTAGAAACGTTTCTTAGTCTTCTTTGTGTGGTTCGAGAGATGAATATTAATTAATGTAAACAATAGTGTGGCGCAAGTCTATAATTAATCCACTTTAGATAAAAGCCGATTTTCATATACGACCACATATTTAAAGTTGAGATTAAAAATTATAGATCTACGCGTTATACATTTAATCTAAAGACTTTGACCGATATGTACCGATGGTGCTGACGACCGTATAAGCGAAGTAGAAGCTATTGTAGAAATCCCATTTATGAGGATCAACTTCGCCCTCCGTATAATTGTGTACTGGCTTGCCGCAGTAGTCGGTGAGCTTGTCGAAAATCTCTTTCTGGGTATGACCAATACTGGACACGTAATGATCTCGAAGTAATTCTGAGAAAAATTATACGTATTTGAGAAACAAATTCACAATTAGATAATCTTAAAATCTATCTCAGGAAGTCTACTCGCGTCCGTTGAGAGATAATCCCTCTTTCACCATACTTTCCGAACAGAGTCATTTTCGAGACGATTGCTGCACGCGCTATCTTATCAGCTGATATTTGTCGTTTTATATTGCCCGTTTGTACAAATCTTGTCTGGACCTTCCACGCACGCAAATGCAATCGGAATGCAAATGTCCATATATTAAGGCTAACACAACATAAGCGCGCAATGTATTTTTGTTATTATGATGAAAAAAAAATTAATGATTTCGTAGTTATGTCTGTGTTCACGCGTATTCCATCATAGAACACACATACATACACAGATTTGAGGAAGGGCAAACGTTATGAAAACGGATATCGCCGTTTTCGGTTCGAATGCAACGATTTTGACGGGAGCGGTCGATGAGATGACAATTTCGTAACCAATCGACCCTCCTGATGACACTGACACTGGCCGTCAACTCTAACGACGATTCTTCAACGCGCGACATTGTGATCATTGGGAACTATTTGAATAATACCCTTTCTTGCGTTAACAATGATACCGGACACAATCATGCATACAAAACCCAATGACATCGAACAGTCGCGGCGATTTTCCGGCTATTTATGAGATTACAGTTACAAAAGATTCCACGTGTTTGGCATAATTACTTTTTAATTCAGTAATTTGTAAAGTTTAGTTTTTTCAAGAATCCAATGACTTAAGAACTTTGTTAAAGAATTTAATTTTGCAAAAAAGGAATCCACCTTTTATATAAGTTCTGAAAGCCGCGATTTCGGAGTACAATCAAAATCGAATTGTAAGATTCTATTATAATAATCGAATATTTATAAGATAATATTTTATTATTTTTAGTTTTTATAAAACATGGTATCCATAAATTTGAAATGTGAAAATCGATACTAGAGAGATTTATGACTACAAACATTCTGGTATTATCGCTTCGATATATTTAATCTTCATATTTTAGAACCAATTGCACCAAATTGAACGGAATTTTTCATATCTGTTTATATTATGATAAAATTTACGATTTAGAAAGCGACAAGCAATTGTCACAGTCAAGGCTGCATCGCTGCAACTTTGATCAATGACAACTGTCTTGCTTTAAGACGCTAGATGCATAAGATATTTCGTTAGTAAATGCATAACTGAAGTTTCAAATGTTTTACACGCTAGACTCGTCTTCTACGACCGTGTGGCCTAAGCATTATTTGCATTATTATCGCCGAAATCTCGAAGCGCATCGTAAATGACCATGTAATAATCAGCTGATTGATGGCGAATACATTAGACAAGCACGATAACGACTCGATATCTTCATACTATTAAGATTCTTTTTTAATTAATATATTGACTGTGATTATATACTTTAAAATATATTGACGATAATAAAATCTCTTAAGAGTATTTTTATTTTTCCGGTTCAATAAAGCTTGTCAATTAAAATAATTTCTTTCAGAAATTAGAATGCTTTGCTATTTTATTTTTGCTATTTATCATGAATAATAATAGGCAAACATGCTATATATAGGATGCATGTAAAATGAATTTCGCCAACGTGAAATTAATTTCTCTTTAACTAATTGTAAGACGTCAAAATAGTTTACGCTCATCATTAAATCTTTAAATATCTTTGTATCCTCTATCCTCGAATTATCATAATTATAAGAGAAAACTTATTAATCTTTTAAATTTACATTGAGATTTCTAAAAATATTTATCTATTGCAAAGTTTATTCGAACTTAAATAAAGGCAAGATTTTAATTTAATTAAAATCTCTTGATTTAATTTTCGAGAAATCCTTCGAGTAATAATCATTCTCACAATAATCATATATTATTAAAATATTAATCATGAATTATTTTTGTTAAAGAGAAATTGATTCAAAAAGTTAAGCAAGACATGTCTCGAAAACCGATTTGTGTATTGATTTGCGGTAACTATCAGAATAATACATCATAATTCTTGATAGATTAAAAACGATGCAATTTTGTAGGCGAGATAATCGTTACAGGAGCAGCGATTGTCATTATCGTTCTTACGGTTAATCTCAATGCGTTCTATTTTAGCCTTGGCAATCTTCTCTTCCTCTTCCTCGCTTTCGATGTGGTAAAATATAGAGGCGCCGAGCAACAGGTACGTAAGGAACAACATCAACAGGACCAACCATTGCTTCTTGGACATTCTCGAATGCTGCCGGCGAAATATTGAAATCTGGCGTGAATCAGACACTCACAAGGGGATGACGATTCATCAGATCAGGTAATCATAATGTCGAAGCGGTGGAGTCATGGATACGTATTCTTGACATGGTTTCCGGTGGTGAAGCTAACACCACTTGCATCACAAGTGTCACAGGCGCACTAAGGTTCTCCCGCGAAGAGCGGCTCTCTTTTACAGTTTCTCGTACCGATCGTCGTGTCGATTACCACGAATTCTCACGAGGGCAATGTTATCACACCGCAGTCCGATATCTTTGATCCGTCAGAAGTCTTTCCGCCGATCTAGACACTACGTTGTCATCGTAGCTGCAACTCTGTTAAATACCCGGCGAACTCTGTGATCAAAAAATCGCACGAGTTTGCTTGATAGATTGATAATCGAGAAGGCAAATGTGCAAAAATTTAAATTTACGCACGCGAGAAAAGAGTGTTACAATCACAGCATTAATTTAATTTCGTATTCAAATGTGATACGAAATAATTAATGCATAAAAAAGATCAAATAAATATTACGATAGACACCTTTTCACCCTCTAAAATGCAATAATATGAAATGCACCACAAAAATGCTCTACAAAAATTTGCAATGACTAATTTTTAGTTGCATGGTGAACGATTCGAGAGTTCGAGGAATATATAAACCACGTTACCCGGAGTGAAATCTCTATCCGGCGCACCTTCGATGTCGAGCTACCAAAACCCTTTCTTCGACAATGTCTGGTTGCGCAATGAGTTCGGTCTCTACTCGGTGAACACCATATATTCTACCGACCTGCCTGCCGATCGTGGATCGTAATAGCGATCGATTTTTGCATTCGCGAGGATAATTTACGGCGTGAAACAACGCCACACGCGCGTGTCTCCTTCTCAAGTTCACATCTCCCGTTTGGTCTCATGACTCGTGCCGGTTTAAGCGCGTCGTATGCGAATTTGCATAAGTGCATCGCATTAGCTCGAAATAGTATAAAAAGTATTTCAGAATTGGCGGAAAGTCATATGAGATCATATGAGAGTTGCTTATTGTGAGATCGAGAGTTAATTTTTCCTTTAGCGAAACAATTAAATATCAACATTTGGTCTCCTAGCTAAGGACCGAATAAAACAGTTTGCTAAATTAGATTAATTAAAATTATTGTAGCAAGAGACAAGCGTACATCAAATTCAAGTTGGAGGCGGAAATAATGTTTCGTATCAATTTATAACATAGCGCGGGAAATTGACGCATAATATAATGAAAGGAAAAATGCGACAATAGTCGAGCGATCAATTTGTCTTGATCTTATTATGTGCGTTATAGCACATCCATAAATACAGTTTATGACGCGCGAGGACATGCCTCGACTGCAATGTCTTAACATGTCGATCGCTATTTGCTAATAATGTCAATATGGACATCGCTTGTTTGTACTCGCTCGAGAAAATTCACATTCGTTGCGGACACGAGAGATCAGAGGCTCCTCGCAGCGAAGAAACTCCACAATTCGGGCCCCTTCCGCGCAAAGATATCATTCGGTATTTTAACAAGACTGAATTTTACTTGGGAATATTAACGTATTAAAAAACAGATAGATATTTTTTGTAAGAATGTATTCTATTTTAACGAATTTATCCCTCGCATTTTGTTTCGTCCGAGAATTCCTAAATTATTGGGCCCCTTTTATTTTTCACTCGCAATGAAAGAATAATGCGTCAAACGTCGTGAACCTTCGGTGACGTTAACAACTATACATCACGCTCGTGTCGATCATCGCTTCTAATTGATGAGATAAATTTACGGACGCGTTTCATGCAAGTATATTTCCTTTATTCGCGAAATAGCACAAATGACGACCAGTTATCACACTATTCTTTCCTCGAATACAGTTTATTAGTATTACTTATATGTGTACGTTTAATTAAAAAAAATATGATCCATTATAAAATATAATTACTCTTTAATTAGTAAATTGTTAAAGCAAAATTATAACAATTTGTCTCTATTACTTTTTATTTAATCAAATAATTTCGCAGTGAATTTTAATAAAATAATTTGAGAACTTGAGAATGCAGCAAGATATAAATTCAAAAAGGATATAAAGCGTTGCAAATGCGCATTTCTAGAATAAATTGAACAAAGAAATACGCGGATAAACATTTAATATAATACTTATTCAAAATTTGAAAACTATTTTACCTTTACCTAAATAAAATTTTTATTTTAGGAAATATATATCATTATATATACATCACACACAAATTACAACGATTTTTTTATCTTAACGTGAATTTATCGGCTTGCTACATTACTTCTGAGTAATCGTATTTAGGAGCTTGATTTGAATTTTATTTTATGTCATTATACTCTAATTTATAGTAATTACAAAAGAGCTAATACTACGTCAAAGTATTTTGAATTAATTCGCCTTTATTTGTCAGACCAGACACCTTACTTGGAATTACAATACTATCGCATCTCATTGCAATTCGGGAATAATTATAAATCTTACGCGGAGTCCGTAACTTTGAAGCATAAACGACACACTTTGATGTGAGCAGGTTGAAATGATTAGTTGAACAGACGACGCTTTACGACGGCGTTTTAACTCGAATAATTTTATGGCCGTTAACGGCCACTTAACAACTGTTATTATCTTCTATTTACTGCACACGTCGTGTCGGTCACGGTTGCGGTTAAAATATGTCGATACTAATGCACGTGCGGTAATTAGTTAACAATTGATAGTATAAAGTAGTTTGTCGTGAAGAAATATGAAGTATTAATCACGTGCCTTTTACCTCTATCGCATAATCAGATAAACGGTATCAATTTTATATCTTAAAAAAAGATTGAATGTTAATCGGAAATTACAATAATTATTATGTTATTAAACGATAAAGTCAGCGCTATTATAGTTTAAATAATTAATATTGTTATCAAACATTATTTTAAAGGAAAAGACAGAGATTATGAATTTGCACTTATTAAAAAAAAAAGTAGTTTACCTTATGCGTAAACTAAGAAAGAGATAAACTTTTGACAAACTTTATTAATCTTGCAAAATTAAAAAAATATTTGTATTAGAATTAAATTTTCGTTATTAAATTATTCTGCTAAAAAGATTAAATAAAGAAAATCTTAATGCTATCAATTTTAAAAGCTTATTTAAAAGTAGACAGTGTGACTTCTTAAATAATGTCCGATGTCCAAAAATAGCACTCATTTCTTTATATTCAAATGAAAAATATTACAAAGATGATGTATCCTTCAATAAATCATGCTATTTTTGCATATTAATTAATGCAAACATATGTCCAATATAAATCATCAAAATCGATCAAAAAATGTGAGACAGTAAACATCACGCAAGATAGCATTACGCAGTAATAATCGTAGTTATACAGGGTGGTCCTCGTAACGGTCGCCACGATTTTCAAGGAACCGTTACGAGGACCACCCTGTATAGCAGCAATCGAATTACAGAGATCGTAATTACTGGCTAAGGAAATTGATAGGTTCTTTCCTGTTTTAATACTTCAGCGATAACGTTAAGATTGACACTGATATGTTATCAATTATTTTTTCACATTTCTTGAATTTTCCATTAATCGATAGACGGCTACCAGATTTAATAACTTTTTTAACATACTGTCGGGGGGTTACTTTCCACTTTAAATATTTTTTTGTGAAAGTGTAAGTCTCTGTACCAAAAACTATATATATTACTCAATACAAATTTAATATTATTTTATTTTTTGATTCAATATAAGATATAGATATACTTTAAATTTGTTATAGAATCAAGGCATTTTTTATTGATGCTAGATATAAAAAGTTATGTATTTTAATAAAAAATTATGTATTAATGGAATGCATGAAATATATTTATATACATATAAATTCATTATGTGATATCGCAAATCGATTCAATTTTATTAATATAGAAATGCGAATAATAATTAAGGATAAAATTATATAGTTTGTTTGGAGCATATTTAAAACATATTTATCTGATTTATGAATATATTACACGTTGTGATATGAATCTATTAACGGAAGTAATATTTGTGTTATCTATCGTCATTATCGATATTATATAGCAATATCAATTTTCATAAGAATAAGAGAGATTAGCTTGATATTAGATAATAATATAATTCATATCTGAATTCAAATGGACACACATTAAACGTGGATTCTTAGAATCCGAGAACGTAAGCATACATAAGAAAAGAAAATATTCAATATCGTAACAATGGTTAGATCTAAGAAATATTTCTTTAAATCCTTATCAGTTTATTCAATCACTTGATACTTACTTGTCTCGTTCGTTTCATATTGTTTAAATTCGTTGCACATATTTGCATTAAGTCAACTAGCATTTTATAATAAGATTCACAACCGGAAAACTTTGAATCATTTTTGTGCGATGAGATAAAATTCTATACACAAAAATTGTTTATTGACGTTATCACTAAAAAATTTAAATGTTATTTGTAGGATTAATGGATCAGCGCGGTCGAGTACTTGGCCAAATGGAGACTATCCGTAATCGAGAGCAGCACTATGCGAAAGATTGTGAGATGGTGGGAGGATCGAAAACAGTTCATTCTGTAAGTTCATTAAAATTATCTCTTTAACAGTTTATCTTATTAACAGTGTTCATTAATATTATCTTCTTAAAAACGGTTAAATACGCTATAAAAATATAGTGAAGAATAGAAAAAATATTTTTAATATAAATTTAAAAAATGATCTAGTACATTTTTTTTAAGAGGGCAAGATATATATATAATTATTAACAACTTATTTTAGATAGACAAATATAAAGGAAAGGAAGAGGCTATAAGAATAATAGGAAATAAAGATCACAAAAAATCGATGTTTTAATTCGTTTTTTATACAAGACCAACTATTTCGATCGTTAGAGTGTATATATGTGCATTATCTGCAGCCTTTCATGATTTGTATTTAGCTGTGTTAATGGATCTGTTTAATCAGCACAATCAAACGCAAATAATTAATCTCTTTTTAGCCATGAGAATTTAATCAGACAGAAATATAGATTTTATTTGAAGAATGCAATGTATAAGTAATATAAATTATTTTAATATAGTCTCTGAATATATTAAAGTATAATTTTCTCATTTTAACTTTAAGTATATCTTTCTTAAGTTTAAATTATTGAACTTTAAAATTTACATAAATATATTTTGCGATAATATATTTAAGAAAAGCAATTTTTATAATTTGGAAAAATGAATGTATATTATATATGATATAAGACATAATATATATATTGGGTCTGTTCTTTATAGCTGAACTGACAATGAGTTGAACTGCTGCACTAGTTTAGAATTTATCTTTCTCCTTCCAATGTGGAGAGAAAGAGATAGTATCTTTTAGTATCTTTGATATTTTTAGGGAACATTTGTGCATTATATAAATATTATATCCATTTATTGTTATGTCATCACATATTTATGCTTCAGTTTCTATGTCTTGTATTATAAAATAATAATGTAATAAAGTTGAATTTCTCTGTATATTTAAAAAATACCTATAAAAAATACGAATATAATTCAGCTAGTCTCATTATATGAGTGTGAAAAAAAGATTTAGGATAATATATCGTAAAAATATTATGTACATACTTGACAAAACTATAGATGGAAAAATGTAATATATAATAATATATAATATATATTTTTTTTCCACGCTCGCATTTTCAGATAAGGCACTGCCTTCAAAAACATAATCAACAGTGTAAATATTGATTTCCTCTATATATTTTCTTCAATATTCTTACCTGGCTTATACTTATATGTTTAAAATACGAACCGATATAATTTCGCTGAGATCGTTAAATTCGACGCGTAAATAAAAAATACCACATTTCCTTAAAGTTCTTTTTAGCATATTTGTTGCATCGAACATTAAATTCATCGAAATCATGCCGGATTCTTAGATTAGGACTTTTGAACAATTTATACTATAATATATTAATTATCACACTCTCACCATTACGAAATACTTGATACTATCTTATACTTCTATTTGGTAAATTCATGAAACTAATATGAGAAAATAAAATTTAAACTCGCAGCTATTATCACGTCATTTATGCGGTCCAATACCGTTTGAAATTATTTATTAACTTGTATTTGCTTATTTGATTTTGCTCTGGTATTAAAAAAGATATATGCATGAATGTTAACAAAATCGTTAACATTTAATGCTTACGATACCCACACATATAATAATATATGTCGAAAAAATAATCACATATGTCATATGTTCCACTTCTGGCATTAGTTCCAGCCAAGTTCTATATCCTCAATCTTTATATTCAGTCCTTCAAAAGTTGTATCAATGCCAGGATCATCAAAACTTTCATCCAGACCAATTTTCTGTATTCAGAATTTTATAAATGTAGAGATATTTTATCTAGAAGAAATCTATTATGCAAATAATAAACTTTCTACAAACCTGTAATGTGGCGATTTGTGAGGAATCGCTTACCAACAAAATTTGTGGTTCTTTATCATTTGTATCAATCATTTTAGAAATCTGAATCTGTTTATCTTTTCCAAGCGGCTAAATTTGATTCAAATCAATTGAGTGTAATTAGCAGTTATAATTATACAGTGTACAATGATAGATAACAACTGGGGGAATTTTGTATCATACTTACAGTTTCTTTTGCAGTTTTCTTTTTATTTTTACTTTGACTAGAAGGTTCAAAAGAATCTTGCAAAAATACGTCAGCACCATCATCACTATCAACCAAAGCATGAGCTGTTCTTTTATGCATCACCAGCGTGCTACTTTGTCGGTATCTTCTAGAGCACAATGTGCATTCAAATGGTCGTTGTGGTGTATGTACCTAAAAGGATATAAAATATCTAAAAATAATTTTTTTACATATATATGTTTAACCAATGCATCTGTATCTTTAATATAATTAATAAATTGATATATATATATATAAGAATTGAGAGAATAATTGATAAAAAACTTACAAGATGATGTTTATACAGACTAGAGTACTCGGTAAATCTTCTACCACAGCTTTCTATAGAACAAACATAAGGCTTTTCACCCGAATGTATCCGTATATGATTCTTGTAGTTTGTCGCACTGGCAAACGCCTTATCGCACATCGGGTGAGTACATTTATACGGTCGTTCACCAGTATGCGTTCTTACGTGAACCTGACAAACATAATGTTCATCATTAAATTCTGTGATTAAATATTATGACTGACAAGTTTTATACCTTTCTAATATTGCTTGTAGTAAATGATCGACCGCAACCATCAAATGGACATACAAATGGACGTTCTCCTGTATGAGTTCTCACATGTTTTAATAGATCGCCTGATGTCTTGAAACTCTTGTTACATGTTCCATTTGTGCACTTATATGGTTTCTCGCCTGTATGCGTTCGCAAATGTGCTTTCAAACTGTACCCCGTTGAAAAGCTTTTCTTACACTTTAGATGCGTACATCTATATGGTCTTTGACCAGTATGTGAACGCTCATGAACCTACCAGAAAAGAAAGTTTAATTTATGATTAATAACTCTGATATTTAAAACAATCTGATTGCCATTTCTGTAGCAATTCACTTAATTTTGTCTATATTATTAATATAGGTTTTGAAAATTAATTACCTTGAGATGATGGGGCGTGCTATAAACCTTTGAACATCCCTCTCTAGGACAAGGATATCTAATTTTTGCATCAGATAATTTGTTGACTAAAATCTTGGGATCTTTCTTTTTTAATTTCCCATCTTGAATTTCCCATAAATTTTCACCAAGATTCACATGACTAGCTACCATGTATGCTGTGCCATTGATAAATTCCACTTGCGAATATGTACTTTCTACATTTTCATTGGAATTATCTTCGGCTTGTACAAATGTAGCTGGATCTAATTCTAATTGAAGAGCCTTGCCCTCGCCAAATTCTGACAAATCTCGCAGTAATATGGTATTCCCATTTTCAAGCGTCCTTTGTAATATTTGCGCCTTGAAATCAGGATCTTTAATGCAAATACATAATCTTTAATGTATCTTTAATATATATATAATTAAGAAAATATATTAGATATATTTTCAAAAAAAATGTTTTCATTAAATACAAATTCTTAAAAAAAAAACTTGCGATTTTCTTTCTTATTATTTGCGATAATATGCAAAAAATAAATTGAAATTGTTACTAACCAATATCACTGAAATTATTTGTAATAAAAGCTTGAGTTCCATCAGGCAATGTAATAGTAGTCATTGTGCCGAGCAACTGATCATCCAATAGAAATTCTTGCACTTGACTTGCATCATTCACAGTATCCTCATTTATCATTACCGACAAACATTCCAAAATATCCACAGGATTATTCTGAAAAATAAGCATATAAATTAGAATGCACAAATACTAAAACATGCATAGAATAATCCAAATAAAATTGTTGCACGATATTTGTTGCTTTCCATTTACATCAAAAATCAGATAATTCTCACTTGCGTTCTCTCTCACTCGCATGTATGCTACGTGCGAGCGAGAGAGAACGCAAGTGAGAATTATCTGAGTTTTTATGTAAATGGAAAGCGACTATTATCTCCATGTGTATACCTCAGATTCGTCCAAGATCATCTCCTCTTCTTCCTCCTCCTGACTCGCGATGCAGTTTGAAGGACTTTGCGTCGACATAATCCCCTACGATTGTGCCACAGCTGCGAACAGACAACATTTCTCGCTGACAGACGCCGTACAAGGAGACATCCCCGGTCTCATCCTCCCTTCGAACGCACGCTAAACCGCGTTACCGCGTGACATATTTTTTTACCGCGCAAATCGTATCAAATGTCATATCATAATACCCGATCCGATTAACCAGTATTACGGCAATTATGTAATTGTCATCGACATGTCATATCTACGCGCGATCGACATTCTACAGAAACGTCAAAACACGCAGCATCGTTCTCCGGACGTACCCGCGTACGCGGTAGACAATTTATACACCGAATCGCATCTCGTTCCGTAAGACTCGCCATCTTCATGCGCATCTCCAAAAAGAAGACTCGATATGTCGCGAGAGAAATATACGCGTGTCCACGCAAAATAACGCGAAAAGACGCGAGATGAAGCCAAGAATGAAACGCTCGCTCGTTCGCAATGAATTGAATTTTCGTCGGCACCTCGTAACGCCAATACATCACAAAGAATCTTGGGAAATATTACCCATAAACTCGGCCGCCCGCGAAATACTTCTCGCGACTAGCGCGCGGATATCACCGGAACCATCGGTACTCCGATGACGGCCATCTTGTCTCGGCGCGAAGCGCGCGCCTTCTGATTCGGACGTTTAAACGCACGTGGTCGCGAACCTACGCCCGATCATCGACGAGATAGGGATACCCGCGTAGTTTGAAAAATCCGTTGTACGCTAAACTATAAGAAACTTTCTGTAAATTATCTGTTATTTAAAACTAAAAAACTTGATGGAAAAACTGCATTCTCTAGCTCTTAAATTCTAATTTTATGTCATTTAACTATCGATTATTTTTACAAAGAACAGATACATAAAATGTCATATTTTTTAGCTATAACCCAGATAGCCAAAAGACATCTTAAAGATGTCTAAAAGATAATAAAATGTCCTTATATCGTCTTTTAGGGACATGTGCTGTCTGGGAAATCTATTGCTAATATAACATATTGATTATTAAAATAAAATGTATACATTTTCATATAAAGATATATTCACATGACATAGTTATCTTAATAATATAAAATGCAATTTTTAGACAATGTTCAGAATTTTTGTTTTATCCTAAATATGAAACGGAGATCAAAAATTAATATTCAACAACTTGTACAATAATTATTTACATAATTAATTATAGCTAATATTCGATATTCAATCGCGAATGTTTCGCGCGATTCGTTGAGAAGGCAGAGATAAAAAATGCGATGCGTTTACGAAGAAGTTTCGCAAGCGCTAAATTCGATCGTACGATCTCAAGTAGAGATGAAAGTTTCACCGTGATCCTCTGCGAGTCCTTATTACTTAGGTACCTCCGCAAAAGTCAAGCTACGCAGGTGGGGTACGTATTATGTATATGGTGTGTGAGAAGGGGGATGCTGAAATTCATGCATACATGCAGCCACCATGACGTTCTCCGTTCGAAAACTGGATCAGTTCCTGACCGCATCCATGAGGCGTCTCGCGAGGATTAGCTAGATCCTAAAAGTCGCGTTTGACAGAAAAAAATCTTTAGAGCAATTGTGATCCGATCGAGCAAGAGAGTGCACAGTGAAATCATTCATCGTTCAAATTACGATTGGTGCGACACGATCGAGCGTAAAACCGCATAATGACGATGGTGGGTGGAGTGAACTTCAATAAGAAATTTATCGTGTCAACAGTATACTTTAAACATTTAACGATAATTATAATATATCCATCATTTCTCCTCCGTGCAATTTAAATATTTTGCTTTAACGTAACTTTAATTTGAGAAAGGTATCAAAAATTATATCGATTAAAATGAAAAATATTGCACCAAAATTTTGAAACATTTTAAATATTTAGAAAATAGTGAAATTTTTTTAACAAAGAAACATAGTCATCATTAAGTATTTAGTGCAACAACTTTATGAAGATTTGAGCTGCAAAAAAATGGAAATTTTAAATAATCTTTATAATGCTATATGTGTGCTATCTAAATTAATAAAATTCTTAACTTTTAAATAGTTTTAAATGTTCTTGTTGTTTCTTCTTATTTTACGAATTAATTTGTTCTTGCATAATGTTATCTCTCTATATTCACTATTTTGTAATAATTGAATTTTCCATTTTATAAGAAAGATCTCTCGTTCTTTCGAAATTCGATTTTTTGGATCATCAATCTCATTGTTTCTCATCAACATAGTTATTTATTAGCACAAAAATATTACTTATGCATACCAGATTTCTGCAACGTTGAATTTCAAATGCCGGATTCAATAGCAATAGCAGTCAAGTATGTTCCCAGGTGAAGGTGAACGGAAAGGAAAACGAAAGGGTAGCTTGACACGCACTGCCGAGCACGTGTGTGTTTCTATAAGAGAATGAACCTCTTTGTGGATTCGCTCGCCTGCACGCTCACACGCGTGCACGCGTTTTGGCGGGGCGTAGGAGCACTTAGTTGTATGGTGTAATAGAGTATACAGTGATGGAATGCAGAGATATAATGTAATACTACTATTCTCTCTCTCTTTCTCTCTCTTTCTCTATGTCGCGGTCGCTAAAAATATTGCCTTTCAAAGCGCAATATTGCTGGTAATCCTTGTGGGAAAAGCAGCTTTAGTATACTCGCAGGGGGGAGGGCAATGTTTCGCAAGCAGGTCATCGAAATGATGTAAACGCATTCCGACATTACATCAAGTTTATATTATAGTAAATTCTTGAAACCTCACATATGAAGAACCTAAAAAAATAATAGATTGAAAATAAATAATTGTGAAATTATAATAAACATTGCATTTTTTATATATATGGATGATAAATAAGGTGTACTGATATATCTTATGGTAAAAATTACATATCCATTGTGAGTAATAATATAATAATAGATATTATAAATAAAAAACACGTAATAATAAAATTTATGTAATTATTATGCAAGTACTTTTTACATTTTAAAAAAATAATAAAAAAGTAATGAATCAAATATTGATGAATGGTCTAAAAAGATTGCTACACATAAAGCATGAATTTCAATGACATGCAATAGTTGATAAGAAATATTTATTTTGTACAAACGCTTTTGTAAAACATAAACTTTCTGAATCAATTATTCCTCTCTCTCTCTCTTGATGATCTAATAACTATAATATTTTATACATACAATATATAGCCAATTAATTATATTTGTTTTATTTATACATTTCTAATATATTAATAATGATTTACAAGTTTCTCTCATGGCTAATATTTCGCAGATAATTATGTAATTTCTCCTCCTACATATTACGAGAGAGATTACAAATCTCGTGCGCGTTCGTATAGAATAAATTTTAGAAACTTACTTGCCTTGACACATTTCTACACTATGTATTTTTTACAGTTATTTTCTGCATCGTCAAATGATTCATCAAAAAAGATATATCTGTCGACGAGCATGTCGTGTAACAGAAACGCTTGCCTCAGGCTTTTTCGTGAAGAATGGCATAATTCTCAACATACAGATAACGAATTTTTACAAAAATACTAAAATATGCAATATACAAATAATATCTTGAAATCACAATATGTATAATTAGATCAAATCGCAATAATCTAGTATAATTCTTACCAAAAAAATGTTCTATGAACACTAATCACAGCGTATCGAGTTTCGAGCATTGTGGTTGATGGTGTAGATTTTTAAGTCAGATAGTCTCAGATGTATGTAACACATTCTGTAACATGCTCTGATCAGAGACGAATCGAAATATTTTACGACTGGCAAAATCTTATTCTTGACTCTATTATACAGAGATATCGTTTTTAGCAAAAGTATATTTGAAATTTTTACCGAGAACAAAAAAAATGTCAATTTTCTAAAGTAGTCGAGAGAAATGTGATCTTAAATAACTGAACCGCTTTTCTCACATTTGTTGCAACTCACGAAT